AAGAAGAATCGAGAAGAGTCAAGAGAAGAGAAGAGTCAAGAGAAGAGAAAAGAGAAGAGTCAGGAATTGAGAGAAGAGTCAAGAAGAATCAAGAGAAGAGAAGAAGAGTCAAGAGAAAAAAGAAGGGAAGAGACAAAACTCAAGAGGAGAGTCAAGAAGAATCAAGAAGAGTCAAGAGAAGAGTCAAGAGTCAAGAGAAGAGAAGAGATAAGAGTCGAGAAGAGAAGAGAGAAGAGAAGAGAAGAGAAGAGAAGAGAAGAGAAGAGAAGAGAAGAGAAGAATAGGGTTTGAAGGGACCTTGGAGGTGTTCTAGTCCAACCCCTTCAAGCAGGAAACCCTATATGACGGCTGCTTTACAACTGCTATGTTTACTGAACAAACACCGTTTTATGACCATTATAATTTGTGGTGGTAATGGATAGTCTCCATTATGGTCGTAAGAACTATTTGTATAACGTTTCTGGGGTGGCACAATAGTTTGCCCAATGGCTGTTATAAAAAAGGCACTTTTCTGGTATTGTATAAATACACACACACACACACACACACACACACCTTGTAGAGATGAATTTGAAGTCTTCGACAATCAAAATGTCCTTCTCCAGCCCAATTACGAGCCGATTTCGATCCCCTTTGGAAAGCTATAACCTTCCATCGAAGATAGGTTATTCTGTGAAAGATGACAAAAAGCTTTGCCTTGGGTTAGCGTTTTCAATTTTCCCAGGAGAAAATTTTTGTGCATTTGGCTGACCTCAAAGAACATGCACTCAATAATGGGACAACCCCAGGTAAGAATCTCGCTGGCTCTTGATCAGGTCAAGGATCACTAGACAATTAATTACTAGCAGTTTTCAGCTCTTCGGAGAACAAGCAAAGGTGAACGGCCCTTCCACTTGTGCGTTGGATTCCATTGGGTCAAATCCAAAGAGCCTTTGGTGTGTTGCTGACACACTGTTCTGGGTAATTTCTTGGAACTTGACATTATCCATTTTTTAAACACCTCTAGGAATGCTGTCAACTCTTCCTCCAAGTTCTTGGCTTCCGAGTTCAAAGTTCAAGTGCACACCTTTATTGTCAGAGTACAACATGTGTACAATGAGATTGGCTGAGCCTCCCTTCGTGCACCAACACCCCGCAACACAGTACAACTCACAGTGAAGACAGAGAATCCCTAAACCAGGGAATCCCACTAACAAAACACACAATCCTATTGCACCATGTGAACTTAGTGCACGCCACGCCAGCCCTGCAAGTCGCTCGTACTATGTTATTGTAAGCAGTGGTGGGATTCAATTTTTTTTATTACTGGTTCTGTGGGTATGGCTTGATGGGCGTGGCATGGCTTGATGGGCGTGGCAGGGGAAGGTTACTGCAAAATCCCCATTCCCTTCCCACCCCACTAACGGAAATTTTGATCAGTTCGGAGAACCTGCAAATCCTACCTCTGACTGGCTCCGTCCCCATCTATTCTCTGCCTCCCGAGTCCCAGCTAATAGACTGGGTCTTCTTTGGTTGCCTTACACAGGAGAACGGAACTGGAAAGCAGGTTAGTGGGGTGGGGAGGGAATGGAGATTTTGCAGTTACCTTTCCTTCCCCTGCCATGGCCACCAAGCCACACCCACAAAACCGGTAGTAAAAAAAATTGAATACCACCACTGGGAGTTAGACCTGTTCTCTGGCTGTGTTGGTTTCGTGCCACGTTCCGGGTCCTCCCAGTGACAGCACTGAGACTCCAAAATGGCTTCAGCCAGGCCAGCTTCAAGGTTGACAACCCTTAACATCAAGTAACTGAAAGGGAGACAGAAGAAGGATCACAAGATACAGATAGTTCTCGACTTACAGACACAACTGAGCCCAAGATTTCTGTTCTGTGAATTTTAAGTGAATTTTACGATCTTTCTTGCCAACGTTGTTCAGTGAATCACTGCAGTTGTTAAGTGAGTAACACGGTTGTTACACGAATCTGGCTTCCCCATTCCGACTTTCCTTGTCAAGGGTTTGCAAAAGTTGTTCATATGACCCTATCATAAATAGATGCCAGTGGCAAAGCCTCTGAATTTTGGTCACGTTAGTATAGGGATGCTGCAATGGTCGTAAGTATGAAAAAACAGTCATAAGTCACTTTTATCGGTGCCATTGTAGTTTCAAACAGTGATTAAACGAAAGTTGTAAGTTGATAACTACCTGTAACAGTTTTTAATGGATAGATAATTGGTAGGTCAAATCAGTTGACTGATGTTAGATTTATTTCTTTGTGACTTTTAAATGTTATATACCAATTTGGCAAATATAGATGCAGACATTCATAAGTTGTAGGCCTGTTTTGCAAAGGGAGGACAATCGTTATATGTAGAAATATATATATATATTAGTATTCAACAGAGGGCGGGGACATTTTATGTGTATGTTTAATATTTTGTTCTATACACTTTTTCCTTTGTTTTTGTTTTGTATTCTATTTTTTTGTAGTTCAGTTTTATACTTCAACTTTGGAAATAAATAACATTAAAAGAAAAAGAAAAAACAATGAAGGCCTTAGGCAACTTTGAGTTTACCTCAATTATTTTTGGCACCTTTTAAAAAGAATACATGAATATGTAAAGAATCATTTCTTTTTTGTTGGAGTGGATGTGTGTGAAACACACCAGCACTGTTAAGTTAGGCATTTTTTCTGAATTTTTGACACATTGAGCCCAAAAAGTTTCCCGCCACTGGATTATCCTATCAAAGAGAAAAGCACAAAACAGAAACAAAGACTTTTGATAAAACTCTAATCGTCCCTTATCCCGATACCCACTCCAGAATGCATACAGATAGAGGAATCCATAAATTTTCAGCCCCCAAATAACACTGATTGTTGTTTTGTCACTATGGTATTCTCAGTGGGTGTTTTGCAAGAACCTTTTGTGACCAAAAGCAATTTAGTAAACCACTGGAGCTCTGATTGTCTTCAAGTTGCTTTAGAATAGGATTTGAAGGGCAGCTGGAATCCTGTCCAGTTTTTCTTCATAAAGAGAAGAGCCATTTTGCAACAATAAGCTAAACTTGGGTTATTAAAGTACGACACTCTAAAAGGCTTTGCGCTGAAACAGCCTAGCTCTTTAGCAAATGGGAAATGAATCAATAAGACAGCATTTAACCATCTGGGGACCTAATCTGCTTGTCGTTATAAAACTTTCTGGTTCTTAGATAGCAAGTCCAAATACTCCTTCAAACTTTAGTCTAAACAGCCAAAAGCTTTATTATTTGTATTTTAAATTATTAAACCATCACACTGAGGGCAGGACAAGAAGCAATGACTCTTGATGAATGTATCTTTTCTTTTATGTATACTGAGAGCATTTGCACCAGAGACAAATTCCTTATGTGTCCGATTACACTTGGCCAATAAAGAATTCTCTTCTCTTCTCTTCTCTTCTCTTCTCTTCTCTTCTCTTCTCTTCTCTTCTCTTCTCTTCTCTTCTCTTCTCTTCTCTTCTCTTCTATACTATTCTATTCTATTCTATTCTATTCCAATGGGTGGAAGCTTATCAAAGAGAGATCCCATCTAGAACTAAGGAGAAATTTCCTAACACTGAGAACAATTAATCAGTGAAATGGCTGTCCTCCAGAAATTGTGGATGCTCTAACACTGGAGGGTTTTAAGAGGAGATTAGACAACCATTTGCCTGGAATGGCATAGGGGCTTCTACTTGTGCAGAGGGTTGGACTAGAAGACCTCCAAGGTCCCTTCCAACTCTGTTGTTCTGTTAAGGGAACTGGGTATGTCTAGCCTAACAAAGAGAAGGTTTACAGGTGACGTGGTAATTATCTTCTGGTATTGTCCGGAATGGTATCGGGACTCCTGCTTTTAAGCAGGGTGGATTGGACTAGAATAAGGATGTCAAAACTCGATTTCACGGAGGGCTGCATCAGGGTTGTGTTTGACCTCGGGGGACCGGGGTGGGCTTGGCCATGGTGGGCGTGGCCAGTTTGAGATCACCCATGTCGGAGGCGCCTGTGGTGGCCCTGCCAATGAAAACGGGCTCCCAAGCTCCGTTTCAGCCGCGACAACCTCCTGCAACCCTCTGCCAGTGAAAACAGAGTTTGGGGAAGGGGGCTGCGTCTGAGTGTTGCAGGAGGCCGTCGTGGCTGAAAACGGAGCCTGGGAGGGCCACACACGGCCCTCCTGAGGTCTATTTTCACTGGCAGAGGCACCACGGAGCAATTCCTTTGCTGTTTCCAGGGTGGCTCCATGGGCCAGACCTAAGCACTTCACAGGCCGTCTCCGTCTCCCAGCCCTTGAGTTCAACATCCATGTACTTAGAAGATCTCCAATTTCCCTCGTGTTATTCCATTACGCCTGTATAATCAAGGATATCCTTTATGTGACAGTTATATTGTTACTTATTTTTCTCTGTCTTTCTTTTACTTTAGGGCAATTCTGGCCTGGGGTTCAGTATTGCTGGAGGAACAGATAACCCACATATTGGCGACGATCCCGGAATATTTATTACTAAGATAATACCAGGAGGAGCTGCTGCAGAGGATGGAAGACTCAGGTAATTTGTTCTTTTATCTTCTAAACATAGAATCGATGTGACACCACGCCACACTTTTGACACAGGCTAAATTGCGCCCTGTGTGAAGTACACGTAATCGTCCACTTACAACCACAATCGGGGACCGGAATCTCCCTTGCTAAGCAAGATGAAGAGAGTCACCCCCATTTTTTTTGCCATGGTGGTTCAGCAAATCACTGCGATCGTTAAGCCCATCATGCGGTCGTTAAAACGAATCTGGCTTCCACCATGAACTTTGCCTGTCGGAAGTTGTTTTGAAAAGCTGCAGACGGCATTCCCACGACCCTGGGATGCCGCAACCTCATAAATGCATGCCGAGCCCCTGAATTTGGGTCACGTGATGGTGGGGAATGATACGTGCAAGGACTAGTTTGTAGTCTCTTTTTTTCAGTGCCGCCATACTTTCGAACAGTCAATGGTTGTAAGTCACCTTTGTTTGGTGTCAAGCCCCTGTCGGAGCCTGAATCTGCAGGGGAAGACGAGCTGGAACTGGAGCCAACAAGGGGGGGGGGCTTCGTTGGCTTCGGAGGAAAATGGGTAGGAGCAGGGCAAGTCAGGCCAGGGCCTTTCAAGATTGGGACAGCTTGTACGCAAGGAGGAATGGGGGCAGGGTGACCAAGAGAGGCTAAGCAGTGAATATGAGAGACAGAGCTCAGGCAATGACCTCCCCCTCCTGATCCTTGAGTGTGGAGAGTGGAAAGAAGGCAGGAACAGCGCTGACTGACCCGGCTACTCAGGAGGAGAGCACCCCACCCCTCTGCAAAAGGCACACCTGGGGACTGAGCCTTAAGAAGACGCTGTGGGGAGGGGCATTTGTCAGGAACGGACACTGAATTCCTGGCGTGTTGAGTGCCGTCACCGACGTTTAAAGTGTCCTAGATTCCCTGCTTTCTTCCTGGCTTCCTGGATTAATTGCCTTGCTCCTTTGCTTCCTGGACTCATTGACTTGCCCTGCTGGGTTTCTTGCTTTGCAGTCGTGGTGCTCACAGCGTTGGGCTGGACTACTTGCAGCCTGCAGGCTGCTGGAGGTGTGTGTATGTATGTGTGCGTGTCATCACTTTGCCAGAAAAGTGGGAGTGTTTGGGGAACTTTGCAGCAATAAAGGGGCCGTTTGAACTGTCACCTACCTGTGCTGCCTCTGTGCCTCGCCCTGGGTCATCACACTTGATTTTGTCTGTTTTAAATATCATTCTAATCCATTTCTTGAGATGTTTTTTCATCCGACGGTTCGCTTGTTCAGTGATGTTCATGGTTTAATATGTCTTTTCCTCCAAGCCTCCTTAACTCTTTGTTCTTTCTTCTTTGAAAAAGAACCTTACAATTTAGTGTGAAAATACCTGTACAAAAAGGGCAAATTCCACATGAAGCATTATCAGAAAGGGATTGGAATTAAATCTCCCCATACACTAATGTCCTTATATATATATATGAAGGTGGGATCTTGCAGACAGATCTCATACACCATATTTGGAGGAGGGGGAAAGTTATAATCATGTAGAGCAGATGATGTTGAGCAGGCCATGCCCACCCTGGCCATGTACTGACCGAGGCTTCCTAGACCGTAATTAAGCACAGGCTTAGTTAAAACAAGTCTTGTTTTATTTCAACGCTGGGAATTAAATTTATTCCCAGCCGGTAATGAGCCCCAAACAGTCTCTCGAGATAAGCACCCACCTTTATCTCCTTTGAATTGCTGCCAACAAGTAGAGTGCCAAATGAATTATAAAAAACCAACGGAAGTACAAAGTCCACACAGAGTTTCAAGGATTAATCTGAACAGAACGAACAACTTTGCTTCCTGCAAAGGTTTTTTAACCTTTGCCTGTCCTTTATACCTTATGGGAGGGGCAATCACCTCCAAGCCTTACTCCTGAGTCACCCCTTTTGTTTCAGCTGCTCTCGCCTTCTAGCAGCTCTGTCCCGCATGCGCACTGGGAACAGGCTCCCGCTGTTCCTCTGCCTCGCTGCTGCCAGACTCCGGAGGCTCTGGAGTCAGCACCCCATTCCCAAATGGTCCTGGCCCCATCTCTGCATTGGATTCAGGACCCTCATCCGAGTTCTCTCTGGACTCCCTGACTGGTCCCCGTTCTCCCCCACTGTCCAATTCCGCTGCCGTCTGCACAGGCTGCCGGTGAATGACAACAGGCCACTACCACCCCTGAGGTCAAACACAACCCTGATGCGGCCCTCCACGAAATCGCATTTGACAACCCTGTTTTATGCAGTCAACTGTGTATTATGAAGCTGCTGGTGAGGAAAGCAAACACGTTTGTAATCCTATATTTCCTCTTTAATAATATACGCCGCCAGTTAAAGAGAACCTGGAGTTGTGCCTGTGTTGCAAAGTAGCGTTCCTGGATTTACAGCCTTAGCTATACCTGTCAGCGGTGCTGTTGGAAGATTTGAGAAACCATAAATTGGGAGAGAGAAAAACAATCCACATTAGAGCTTGAAAGGCCAACAGATTGATGAAGCAGAGAACTGCTGACCACAGTTGGTCCATTAATCAGCTTAAGTGATAGCTCTCTCTTCCTAGATCCTAGCAAGACTCCATTAGCTTCTGGTGAGTCTGATAAAAAAACCCCCACAAATTCCTGGTTCTTGCTGAGATTTGTTTGTTTGCTGGTTCTTACAATTATTTGCCATCCATCTTCCTTTCCTGGACCAGGATGTCCTGCACTCAGTCGTTCAATCCCTACTCATTTCATGACTGGACTACCGTCATGCGCTCTACAGGGGGCTCCCTGGAAGAGCATTTGAAAGATACAGATAATCAGAGTTGGAAGGGACCTTGTAGGTCATCTAATCCAACCCCCTGCCCAAGCAGGAGACCCTACACAATTTCTAACAAATGCCAATCTCTTCTTGAAAGTCTCAAGTGATGGCGCTTCCACAACTTCCGAGGGCAAACTGTTCCATTGTTTGATTGTTCTCACTGTCAGAAAGTTTCTCCTTGTGTCCAGGTTAAATCTCTCGTTGTTCAGTTTCCATCCGTTATTCCTTGTCTGGCCTACAGGAGCTTTAGAAAATAGCTTGACCCCTTCCTCCCTGTGGCAGCCCCTCAAATATTGGAAGACCGCTATCATGTCTCCCCTGATCCTTCTCTTTACTAGACTAGCCAAGCCCAGTTCCTGCAACCGTTCGTTATATGTTTTAGCCTCCAGTCCCCAAATCATCCTGGTTGCTCCTCTCTGTACTTTTTCTAGAGCCTCAACATCTTTTTTACTACAACTGGGGCAGAGTGTGGCAGCATGGGTAGTTTTTTGGGGGGCAAAAATGGCCCTTGTGACACCACTGCTCTGTGAGCTGTACTGGTTACCAGTCTGCTTCTGGGTACAATTGAAGCAGAGGTAGTATTCAGCTGGTTCGGACCAGTACGGAAATTTTGACCAGTTTGGAGAACCAGCAATTACCACCTCTGACTGGCCCTGCCCAGCCACCCCTGCCATTACCTCTCCTATATTTCCTTGTTTTTTAGCTCAGCTGATTCGCATGGATTGCCGCACCTCAGCTGAGCTAAAAAGAAACAGCTCAGGCAGCTTGCCAGTCTTGACAGAGTCAGTCAGGAAACCCACCACAGAATTGAAGGTGTTGGTGATCACTGTGAAAGCCCTTCATGGTGAGCGAGGAGATCCCCACAGAAGAAAAGATAATACCAAAAATTTTAGAATGTGCAGAAATGAACAAATTAGCATTTGAAATGAAAGAAAAGGAAGACGCTTTGAGGTGTGGGGTCTCTTTTATCGATGGTTAAACGAGAGAAACCAGAGTTTGAACTTCAAAAAACAAGAAGAGAAAGATTCATTTTAATATTAGGGTTGATCACTGTAACTTATTAATTTTAATTACTTTTGATTAGTACTAATAATATGTATCAATATTATGAGGTAAAAGCACTGTTATTATAAGATTGCTATTAGAGAATACTATTATTATTTAGATGATGAATGTTTACTCAGAAGAATTGTAACCAGACAAAACACTGTTTATATGGATGTTGAACGTGTTGCTCTTTCTACTTATATTAATAAAAAAGAACAATATATTTTTTTAAAAAAAATGAAAGCCATTCATGGCATGGATCCAGGTTACTTGAGGGATTGTCTCACCCCACTGGGATTGGCTTGTACCACTCGTGAGGGCAGAGGAGGCATGCTGTGGGTCCCATCGGCCCAATTATTCCGGCTGGCTGGGTCCATGAAGAGGGCCTTCTCTGCAGTGGCTCCAATGATGGGATTCAAAATTTTTTACTACCAGTTCTGTGGGTGTGGCTTGGTGGGCGTGGCTTGGTGGGCATGGCAGGGGAAGGATCCTGTAAAATCTCCATTCCCTCCCCACTCCAAGGGGAAGGTTACTGCAAAATCCCCACTCCCTCCCCACCCCACTAACCTGCTTTCCAGCTCCATTCTCCTGTGCAGGGCAACCAAAGAAGACCCAGCCGATCAGCTGGGACTTGGGAGGCAGAGAATAGATGGGGGCGGGGCCAGTCAGAGGTGGGATTTGCCGGTTCTCTGAACTGCTCAAAATTTCCGCTACCGGTTCTCCAGAACTGGTCAGAACCTACTAAATGCCACCTCGGACTTCAACCCTCCAAAACATCTTGCCCCTCCCCCTCCCCCCATATAAAGTTGGTCCCAACCCTTCTATCAGTTTGTAGGGCCATATAAAGACATGGCTTTGACATGGCTTCTCAGAAGGTCACAAAAGGTATCGCCTGACCCCAGGACACCACAACCGTCATAAATGCAGGCAGTCCTCGACTTCCAACCACAATTGAGCCCAGCATTGATGTTGCTAAGCAAGGCATTTGTTACGTGAGTTTTGTCCCATTCCACGACCTTTCTTTCTTTTTAAAAAAAAATAATTTAATATTTTTATTAATTTTCTTTTTTTTTTACATCGTAAAACATCATGGTATCAACAACGTTCTTGGCATCTATACAAGATTTTGATTTAAATATCATAATACATTACATTGC